ATGTGATCGACGGCATATCGGCGTTGTCGACTCGCGGTGACTTATTTGCAATAAGGCAAATTAGTCAACGTGTTACAACCGTGAGGAAAACCGGGCTCGCAGTGCCGGAAAATTGCCACAATCCGTAGAAATTGCTTGCGATGCATCGGAAAATACCACAATTTTAGCATGCAGATGGCGAATGCACGACCTATGACAGCGGTCGCACGGTATGACCTATGAAGTCAACATTCGTCTGCCGTTTTCTCTTCACGATATGGCAGCTCTAGGAGCCATATTGATGTAGTCGTGTAGTCTAGCACTTACTGTTGCTGCTGAGGAGTTTACGGAACGGAGGCTGATCTAATTTGCTAAGCTGGCCCAGAGCGGAGTACTGCAGCTCCAAACGCACGTGTGTTTCAGCTGTGCTGAGATCTGGAGTGCCATTGGGATGTCATATACTCGCATCTAGGTTTCATCCCAGCAACGTCACCGATTTGCCGGTAAGAGGAAGATATGCCCACGCTTCAGCCGCTGGTTGTGTTACGATGATATCGGTGCGAGAAAGTGGGATGGCGTGATAATTATGGTTCGTGACGGGCACGGGGGACATTCCTGGTCCATGTAACTAATACATATCAATATGTTCAACAAGTAAGTCATTTTGCTGACCAAATTAAAATGAATAGCTCATAACAATTAACTTCCTACCAGTTTTTACATTGTTTATGAACTTGCCCGTCACCGCTGCATTGCCAAATGGCTCAGTTCTGCCTGCTTCGTCGCCAGTCAACTCAATGGTAGCGACTGCTTTCAGCCGCTCCGCGACGTTCCTTCGGCTGAGAGGCCGGCACTAGATAATGTGACCCTCCTGACGGTCATGTGTTCAACCAGCAAAGCGGAATACCTCGCTCCTCGGATCGACTAGAGCATGTGGCTGCCCGGGTAAAGGCCCGTGGTCTTCTCATTAGTCCCTGAGCTGTCGCCGTTGTTTTCACTTCGTGAGAATGCCACGTGCGCCTCCGTGCCACCTGACGGGCGTGGTATCCTTGCTGCCGAGCTGTGCTGAGCCCCGTCACCACGTGAAGGCAGCCCTTGCTGAGGCAAAGCCAAGCCGAGCAGCGTTGAGTACCTGTTATGATCACCGCCAGGAGCGCCGTCCGGTGCGTGGCCCGCTTCCAACTCGGTGTCAGCTGTGCTGGTACAGCAGGGGCTTAGTGTCGATGTGTCTGGTGCACTCCAGATGATCCACGATCAGATACATGACCTAAACACGGAGCTGAGCAGTAAGTGATAAGACCTGTATGTTTTCAGTTCTGTTTTGGATATGTCGTGCGTGTTATAGTTGGAGCATGATAAGTTGTTTTTCACACCGTTTTTTGCGTCTCCGCGTTTAAGAGCCATCTTTTGAGTGTCCGTGGATCTGGTCTAATCTGTCTACCAATACATACCTGAATCACAACAAAAGGAACAAAAATGTGAACCCAACGCAAACCAAAGTCAGCACTGTCCATCCAATATTGCCGTCTATCCGTTATCAAGCAATTTTGAATCTGGAGTGGGGGGAAGGGGGGGGGGTAGTGGCCTTGGTTCATTCTGCCCCGGACACTGGACACGTTGTGCATCTAGTATTGTTTGTGAACGATCGGATCTAGCATTCGGCAAACGTAGACGTTATATAAACCCCAAATGGATGGCCTGGCGTTCCTTTGCTGAAAGTTCTTGACAGAGACTGTAAGCGCTTCTCAGTCGTCCATCTACGTGTGGTGATAGCCGCATTTACTTCAGTTTCGCTTGCTTAAATGTCATATTTCGCCGTGTTTTAAGCCGTCGATTTCGGACTGAGATGGGATACTTGCGGGCGAGAGATGTAGTCCATCGGCTGTCTACTGATGCATAAGACCTGACTTCTTACGGGATAAGGTAGTGCCGATAGTTTCGGTGCCACCTTTTCAAGCTGTTCAGATGCACAGCCGAGTAATGAGCCCCAGCCGGGAGTGATCGCACAGACCACCGTTGCATCCCGCAAGTTATTGTTATTTATTTTTTAACCTGGTAGTGTAGCTCAACACGCGCTCGGATAACCGGCTGGATACCCTTCGTTCGGGGAGGGAGTCAAGTTGACCCTCCCCTTTAGGAACTAAGGGAGCTAGAGATACCAAATTCGTAGGTACGTTGACCTAAACATCAACTCACCTAGGTCAAAATTTGAGGTTCCTGGGTCATGACCTTCGGGTCCAGTAAGGTCAAGGAGGTCAAATTTCAGGTTAGCCTCCAAGGGGTCCCTGGAACCTAGTAAACTGTTCTAGGCAAAATGTCACATGCTCATCTAAGGTCAGTGACCTTGTTTGATCCTTTGAAGGTCATGGTCACCTAAATCATACAAGACCGCTTTAAGTTTTGCATTCGTATAAGCGACAAAGATTACGCTAGGCAGTATTTTCCTAAAAACAACGTGTTGAACTGGGTATTCTAGGTCAGTGATCTATTCTGACCTTTAGGAAGTCTATGTGAGGTGTATAATGCATTCCTGTTATCAATAAATTCGGATTGAGCATCAGAAGCTACCCTTTACACCAACGCTAGAGTAATAAAACAGGCTGGTTTTGACCTCGGTCTGACCTTCGTACCTGATCCTAGGTCAATGCAATATGTTCATTCAATTGTTGTGGTACCTAAGCAAGTAATTCAGAGTCGTGTGGTTTCGTCTAACAATCCGTTGTTGGACCAGATTGAACGATTCCCTGGAAATCATTCGTCGAAATCGTTGCCTGCCTTTGACCTGCCATAGGTCAACAACCTTAAAGGTTATATCTATTTTTATGTCAGACGATTCGCTGTTCAATTGTACACAGTGTGCAAAAATGAGCGCGGCTGCGCCGCGCCGTTCGGAAACCATTCCGGAAAACCCTCCGGGGAACATGTTGACCCCCACCCGAGCGCGTGTTAACAATAAGCTATGGTCAGATATCTTTGTTCCTTGGTCTGATTGAGCTGCGCTGTTGACCAAGTTTGACCGAACATCATGTGCGGTTAACTCCCGCAGATGGGACATCTATTTCCGTATGATGCAACCTACGATGGCTTCATCTACCACTGATCCAGCGGCCTCAGCTGAGACCGATCCGTGGTATCTGCCATGTTCGCGAGTATTCTCGCGTGGGCCCCCGGACTGAGCGCCGCCCTGCCGCCCTGTATCGTCTCTGGGGGCGTATCCACAGCAGAGCTGTGGGAGATCATGAATACTGCACCGCACCGCCGACGCAGTGCCGCTGCGAGTCCAGCGTTCTCACGCGTCTCAATAAGTGATGCGTCGCCCGTCGCGCCCGGCCTGGCGTGATCAGCCGGCTGCCATTGGTCGGCCAGGCAGGACTGCGGGCTCGTGTGTGTGCGTTGCCAGGAGAGGTCATGGAAACGGCGGTGTCGGACAGCACCGTCGCTCGGGGGTCCAGGGCAGCGCTGCGACTCGTGGCGTTCCGAAAGGGGTGGAGGACATGCTGGAGGAGGCCCCTGCTGCCCGGGCGCGGGTCGCGAGACGCTTCTCAGTGGTCTGTTCTGCGCACGTCGTCGGCAGGGACTTCTGGTTGGGTGAGCTGACACGCGCTGGTGGTGTCATCCTCAGATGGGACAGGTGCGGAGCGGACGGCGCGGTGACGCGGGAGCTGGGAAGGATGCGGGGCGGTGTTCAGGGCTTCAAATACTGGATTGTAGTCGTTCAGTTGATGTATGCGAACAAGCTCCTCATTTCTCATAAATTTTGATGCTGATTTTTACAAAATATCCGGCACGTTGAGACGAGTTATAATTTTTTGTGGTTATAACGCCCCGAATTTGTGCTCTGCGTTTGTCCGATAGGTGCACTTGCGGAATGGCTCACCCTAATGTCACGTTAGTCACGTTATTGTCTGTGACTCAAGTTACACTGCGAAATTCCTTTCACTGAATGTTATTCGATCAACTGCATAGTACCTTAGGCCCTGGGATCCAGTTGTGAGCAATTCAGGCATCAATTGCACCTACTTGGTAAACTTACCTTGTTTGCATCAACAAGTGCGCTAAGTAAGCTAAGTAAGCGATCTCGAGAAAGCGACACCGTTCCCTGCCGTCAGCTGCAGCTTCTCCGTCTGTCAGCGGCTTCGGAAGTCAGCCTCTGGTGTCAACCGCGTACCGGTCGGGCCGCTGGCTGTGACGCTGGCCCGCGCCGCCGCACCACCGGCTGTGACGCTGGCCCGCGCCGCCGCATCACCGGCTGTGACGCTGGCCCGCGCCGCCGCACCACCGGCTGTGACGCTGGCCCGCGCCGCCGCATTCACCGGCTGTGACGCTGGCCCGCGCCGCCGCACCAACGGCTGTGACGCTGGCCCGCTCCGCCGCACCACCGGCTGTGACGCTGGCCCGCCCTGCCACACCACCGGCTGTGACGCTGGCCCGCGCCGCCGCACCACCGGCTGTGACGCTGGCCCGCGCCGCCGCACCACCGGCTGTGACGCTGGCCCGCGCTGCCGCACCACCGGCTGTGACGCTGGCCCGCCCTACCACACCACGGGCTGTGACGCTGGCCTGCGCCGCCACACCACCGGCTGTGACGCTGGCCCGCGCCGCCGCACCACCGGCTGTGACGCTGGCCCGCGCCGCCGCACCACTGGCCGCCGGTCAGCGATGGTTGCGATCGCCCGGCTGCGGCCCACGTCGCCCGCACAGACACCTCGGCCCGACCTGACCACGCCCCGCTCCCGGCTGACGAGACGGTGTGAACGCGAAGACAGTGACGCCCTCAGACTCGACCTGAGTGACTGCTGCTGACGGTGTGGGATGCGGGTCTGGCTGTACTTAAGTGTGATATATGAGTCTGGCTGTACTTGGGTGTGAGATGTGGGTCTGGCTGTACTGGGGTGTGGGATGCGTTGAATGAAGGAGGCGTGTGGTCTCTCGAACCTCCATCCCCCCCCCCCAAAAAAATCTCTTACCTCATGAATGTTGTCGCGTGACCGGAGTCAAACGCGGAAGCTAACGCTGTGCGCATGCGCGTAGCCCCTGTTGCAGGCTCCGTTCCGGTGGAGATTTCAACTGTTATCAGGCTTCCTCCTCCGCCGTCTGTCGGTACGTTAACCAGCTGGTGTGCATATCCTTGCCGTCGGTGCCGTCCGGAGGCTCTCGAATCTGCACAACTCCTTGCGCATAAATGGCGTTAAAGATGCTGTTGTGGCCCCGGTGGAAATGGTCAGCCGCTGGCCAGGGAGCGGACGCTAATGACAAACGAGCTGCATCAATTATTCATCGTTCTGTGACCTTCATCGGTCAGCCACCGTCAATAATGACAATAAAATGATGGAAAATAACATGATCGACGATGATATGAACGCCAATAATATGATCGCCTATCATTTGACCGCGACGCACAGCGGCAAGGCCAAGCGGTGCCCCTGAACTAGGTGGCGCTGCACATGACTATGTCCTGAATCACCGAGCCGGTGCTGCCTCAGACGTGACGTACCCGGGCACGACCGACTACTTCTGGGGCACGATCGAGCAGAACACGACGGCGGTGCCGGCCGGAGGCTCCTTCAGCACTGGCGGCGGACCGTTCGGGTTTCTCACCTCTGTCATCCTGCCGGGCGACTCCGTACGTGCGCAGAGTTTGGGGGGGGGAGGGGGGGGGGGGGGTGACGGCGGCTGTCAGCGGGACGGCTGGTGAGGCTCCGGGTCCGTGCAGGCATTGCACGGACGAGAGCTGGCAGCAGATGTTGTGACCATCTTTGGGGCCAGGTTGTCGTGGGGGGCGTAATGAGCTGTATATCACGTTCAAATGAGAGTGGTTTTTGTGTGGTTTGGTTTAAGGCTAAACAGTTTAAGGCAGTTCTCTACATGACGGTCATGTCATAGCCTAGTACTTTGATCTGCATATTTTGTATCAATGTTGCATTTACCTTCAATGCAGTGCACTCCTCACTTGCCACGACGCTTTTCAAGCTGTTGGTCGATGCTCGCCTTTCCGTCTGCAGTGTATGGCGCACAAGGGCTTTGCCAAGCCTGGAGATACGTGCGTCTCCGACCCGGCCACCTGTGAGGAAGGCCTGTCCTTCAGTCTGTGGGAGAAGACCATCTACGTTGAAGATGTGTTCGCCGACCGGGAGAGTCTGCAGCTCCGTTACCTTCTCAGCACAGGTAACGAGCGGCGGGCATGGAACTTATTTACAAAGCTTGCTGCTTGTCCACTCAGCCTGGCATCAGAAGTAACGCAATCCCAGGGCAAGAATCCTGTTTAAATCGCGCGGCGTATGTCACCAGTCACATTATGGCAATAGTCGTTTGCTCATTACATGACATTAAAAATGCGTTTTTCTCGGAAGATTGCGTGGCTCTTTTTGATTTAGGAAACATCTGGAAAGTTGAGTGTAACAAAAACAGGGTCTTTCACTCACAGAGCCCGACAACATTCGTCGAATTTCATTCTGACACTTCCGTTACCACAGCTCCCAAAGCTGCCTTGTTTTATCACTAGATGTCACTACTGTATATGCATGGCCAAATGATACGTCGCAACCCAACGGTAGCGTGTACATTGGCTTGCCCAATTTTTTTTTACGTCACTGGTGCTACGAAATGTATTTTGGCTATGTGCGCAGAGCCTGAGGCAAATCTTAATTCATATGGTTTGTTCCTTTTCTTCGCCGCCTGGTGCTTACGCTACATTTTCAGCAAAGCTTTGCCTTAACATAGATGCTCTGAAACCCCGGTACACAGCACGACGCGAGGTAATAGAATTGTGCCTAGTTGCCTCAAGACGCAAAGATGCAAATCCTTAGAACAAGCATGGGAATGCATCAGATGTTCCTCATTTTGGGGGCAGGCAGTCGCTCTTTCGATTTCCATTGTTGTTGTTTCATAAAGCTTGAAATCGAAAATAGTCCATTGGTCGGCTTAGCCTACGGGACCAAACGTAATTCACGCGGCACACGGATATGAGATGATGTTAGTGGCCACTGAAGAAGCTCGAAGCGTGGCGATTATCGTGTTTTGATGCATGAATCGACATCCCTCAAGTTATAGTATGGCTTTGTCCGGAGAAGAGATTCCATTGACGCTAATGTCTCGATGAACGAACCTGTCAACAGAGCCGAAGAAATCCATCGGTATCCCGTTGCGTAAATTGTCGTTTCTACCTTATCTGTAAGAAGTGCTTTCCATGAAATGTTGGGATGATTTAAAGTCCTTTTGAGAAATTTGTGGTAAAAATGATTTGATGCGATCTCATTCATCGTTTTGTCCGTGCGAAAATGACTTTTCTTACGCAAATATGTTGTCATAAAACTACTAGCTGCAGCTCGCGCGATGCTAATGTATGGTTGCTGATCGTTGAATAGCGTTTGCAAATATTTAACAGCCTGTATTTATGATCAACAAAGCTAGACATTAAGCTATATCTAGCTTAACAACTAGCTTTGGGTTCCCTATCGGCGGAACCCTATCGTAATAACCCATGTCCACATGCTGTGCTCTTCAGGCGGCGACATCAAGGGCTCTCCTGGTATAGCAGTTTACCTTCAGGGCATGTACTTGGGGGCGCTTGTGTCGACTGGGAGCAAATACTGGCTCGTAGAGACTGTCGGCCTGCTGCCAAACAACACGTGGAATAATATTGGTAAGTGCCTACGCATGGCGTCCCTTTTGAAGTGAGTTTTACATTTGTTAGTCGGGAATGGTTGTCACACCGCCTACACGCAAGGGCACGATGTAAAACTTGTGCGCATTCTGGGCTCCAAGGACAGGATAAATGTAGTTATGAGATCATTGTGTGAAAGACTACCCAAGTAATTTAAGCACACGGGACATCCTTAGAATTCGAACTCCCAAAATCCTGCGAAGTGTGTGCACCGCAAGACAAAAACAATTAAATATGTGTCGCATGAATAAGACAGTAGCACTAGCCTTATTTCTCGGAAAAACCAGGAGAATGGACGTCCTTGAACTGAACAGCACTGAACTAAACAACTTGCGTGTCGCACGACATCAAACGTACGTAAGCTGCGCGCGGTTATCACGAAAGTCAACGCCAATATCGAAGCCACTCCTTATGCTGGTGGTTGCGCCGGTAGTACACGAAGCAACGCAATATCGAAAGCCGCTCTTATGATGGTGGTTAAGTAACTATCGCTAACTGGCATCATGTTAATAGGGGCTGATGATAACGATACCAGTTGCAACCTATGCTGACGACAGTGCCGACTGCAAACAACCTCCTCACTTGGCAGGAATCCGATGGAGGCCGCCCTCCACGGACGGCGGGGAGGTTTGGTCGGCCTGGAGCTTTACCTGAACCAGAAGGTTGCTTGCAGGACCATACAACGGCGTTACGCCCGTCAGCCTGCCAAACGGCCCGTCGACCCCCGAGCTCAGGTGAGCGAGCCTGAGGCCGCGGTGGCTGGACTCAGGGGGGGGGGGGAGGAGGGGGGCTGAGGGATGAGCCACTACTCAGAAGCCGCGTTGGTGAGGCAGGCGCCTACCGACGGCCCCTCTCTGGCCGGGTTGTGCAATGTATGCTTCGTGGTTAAATGCGAGTGGGTGTTTGGTGCGAGTGGGTGTTTCAACCACTTTGTACTGTCTATATGCAACGTGCATTGAAATCAGTGTCTGTTTCTTCCGTCACCGCAGCCGTCGTTACATACAGCAGAAATAGTCGAGTAAGACACCCCGATCTCCCATCCCCAAAGGTTGGCACGTTCTCTCAGTCGTGTGGTGTCACACCTTTATGAAGACACATGTCTCCTTACACACCCACGTTGCGCTCGCTTGTTGATCAAAACTAGTTGACTTCAGGTCGATTCCCCCAAGTTCGGCTCAGAAATGCAAACGGCTGGGTTTTCTGGGAAACGAGTATCTTCACGAATCTGCCGTGTCAGGCGCCGCGGGAATGGGTCAGACTGAGGGGAGATTAGGAGTTCCTAAGGAGAGATCATGGGCGACTTGACTCGCTTTTGAAGCGTTGTTGAAAGGCACATGTGGTGGAGTAAAACCACGCGCCTGCCGAAACCCGGGATCGAACCAGGGACATTTAGATCTTCAGTCTAACGCTCTCCCAACTGAGCTATTTCGGCCGCTGGCGTCCACCGAAGTGACGGAAAAAATCCACCTTTAAAAAGAGCATTGCGTCTGGCCGTGTCTGACTGGTCTCGTCTCCCTGACAGGTGGGCTGTCACAAGGCCTCGGGTGACGCCGACTACCGGCACTTCTGTCCCTGCGAGTTTGACGAGATCGCCATGTGGAAGAGGGCGCTTCTCGCCAACGAGTCCATGTTCTTCCTGGGTGGCTTCGGTGAGCCTTGCACAGCTGGAGAGCTCAGCGAGCGTGTTCATGAGGCATAGGACAATCTTGTGTGTTAATTGCACTCCACTCCGGACTATGCTGTCGAAGATGTATGCGTTTATATAGACTGTTACGCATGACATGTAGACTGTGCACATCTCATGCTGTATGTCCTAGCCTACACCCGTGGCTGTACCTCCCGAATCGTATGTGCCTCCGGATTGTACGATCTTAAGACGTAAAAGCATGGAGCTCGCTTAGGTAGCGCTCGGCGAGTGCCAGCTATGTTACCTCGAGGGCCAGGCAAGGGTCTTCAAAAGCCCCCCCCCCCCCCATTTGTTTCCTAGCTGAGCCAGAATTCCAAAACAAAGATCCATCCAGAAAAGCAACGATGTACGGTTTGCTTGCTTTAGGCCAGCCAGTTCCCGCCCAAGTCTTATTGACCTAAGCGTTTCGGAACTAGTGCAAAGGCGTGACATTCCGGCGCGTAAAGCTTTTCTGATCATATAGGCAGAATATAATTCAGAGCAAGCGAAATATCCAGATATAACCCAAAGTTAAATAAGGTAACTGCAGGTCATTTATCTCGTCATAGCTTAAAACAGATATTTGACCAATCGGAAGTGGCCCAAGTGCTTGGAAACCACCATCAAACGTTCGTTTCGTTGAAGATTATTAGAAACCATCGACTGCCATGAAGAAGCACGAACACAACATTTGCCACAAAAGAGAGGCTCGACCTCCCTTCACAGATGACGTCATAATCCAGTTTACTGACCTGGAATCATTTCCTGCAGAACGCGCATTGAATGCATCAGCATCCACTCCAAATGTGACGGCGTTATTGTCTGGTATCTAAAAAAGTATTGTAAGCCCATCCACCTGGCTTATGTCCCACGCACCACCAACCCCATGAATCTGGCCAGACACTGACAGCCATGCATCACATGACATGACAGCCAAACTCCACCGCAGCCATGCATCACAGAAGTGGTCACGATTTCAGAGGCCAACTTTTCGAAGGTGTCGGCCGCCGAGTTTGCCGACATGCTGGTCGACGTCGACCTCACTGACCCCGACCAGCAGTCGGTGGCCGTGACGCTCGTTAAAAAGATGGCGGACGCGCCGGAAGAGGAGACGAAGGACGAGCTTGGGCTTGGGAGCCCGTCGACCGCCGAAAGCGAGCAGGAGACTGAGGAAGAAGAGGAAGAGGAGGAGCCGGAGGGAACGACCTCGCCTGCGCAGTCAGCTTCAGGTTTGTGCAAACCTAAGCAAGGATAAGCACACGTGTAATGTTTAGAATACACTCTGCCTAAAATTAAATCGTGAACATTCGTGGGTACGTGTGTAGGATATAGCATTGATGGTGACCTTTCTAAAGGATAGAGACGAGGTTTCAGTATCACAGATGGGACATTGTTCTCAATTGGTACGTCAGTATTTACACAACGTTTGGCTAGCTTCCCGCCGTCAGGCGTCATCGAGCACTGAGGTCTGCATGCTGGTTGGCTTTAAGCCATGCACTCGTTACAGCCTAAACACTCTTCCTGGAACTGGTGGGATTCGAACCAGGGTCCTCTTATTGCGAGTGCTCCATCAACACAATTGCGCTTTCCGGTTATCTTGGCTGATAAAGTACTGGACGCGCAATAAGAACACGCTGGTTTGAATCCCAGCGATTCAAAGGAGTAAATGCAGGCTGAGATGCGGACGTGGCTGGAAGACAGGCATCGTCCATTCCTTCTTAGTACTCAATAACACCTGATGACGGCCGGAGAGCTAGCCGGTGGAAACGTGTGCATAAAGCCACACCAGACGGGGACGATGGTCCGAGCATGACCCCATCTGTGGGTGATTGCGTTCATCACTGCTGCCTCGGCAGTCTGCATCCACTCTTCCATTGGGATGTGAGGGACGAGACCCGCTCCAAGCTGCTGCTATTCTCGACATGTGGCTAATCGGCCGGAATGCTCTCACCTCATGCCAGTTTAAGATCAGTACACCATTGAAGCCTCAGGAAGAACTTTTGCAGGCTGAGCTTTTAGTATATGGTCCGTCCATTGGTCAGATGCAGCAGAGATCGGCCTGTTACTTCATAGACGTCACGTGGCGTGTTATGTCGCTAGACTGACTGTTCGCGTGCCAATAGGTGGGGCTCCGGCGGCCAGCAAGTCCGAGATCCAGCAGATGCAGGTGCTGGCCGGTATGGTGTTTACAATGACGGAGTCCGAGAATATCAAGCCGAACCAGACGAAGGAGGAGTTGGACTCATTCCTGGTGAGTGATGTGTCAGCTGTGTGTGTTGGCACACGTACGTTTACTAGCGCTAGTGCTTGGTGACACACCACAGGTACTCGCATTTGGAATTTTTTTAGTCTTCTCCTTGTCTTGTCTTCTCTCTTCGCGGTTGCATGTAAAAGTTGTCAAAGGAATTCAACCGTCAATTGTGCAAACTAGCCTGGTGTGCCGTGTCTGTTAGTGGTTGAAGTGGCCATCGCTGATGTCCAATTAACCAATGATGTGCAAAAGTCGTAAAATTGAAAATCTTAACATTTGTCTCCGGCCCACACTCGACGACGGTTCAATGTAGGGATGTCGATCAGGTCCGGGACATTGGCACAGCACAACATTTTGAATGTTTTCGCAACACGGTGAACGATGAAATGATAACATCACCGTGTAATTGAAAATAGCCACTCGTGTGGATAACAATCATATGTTCTTATACCCGTTACGTTGGCCAGAATCTTCTCAGTCTGGCATCGAAGCTTCTGGAAGAGGAGAACGCCGCTAAATGGAACGGGATAGAAATGAAGAACGACAGGAAGAAACCCGATCCCAAAAACCCTAAAAAGAAGATCGTGAGAGACAGAGGTGAGCGGCACGAAGCTATCCCCTTTTTTGGTATATGTTGGCGCGAACTCCTTTAAATTGGTTAAGTGAAATAGTCGTTCTGTCGTGGAAAGTAGGTATCGGAGCTAAGAGCATGTTTTGTTTTCAGTCATCACACCCACATATCTTATACTATACGACTGTGGAGCAGCTCTTTTAGAGCTGTGCGGGTCATGGTAAGAGTGAATGTGATGACCCCGTCCGCTGCCAAGCGTCTTCGTCTTGGCGCCTTGTTTTCGTGCCCAAAACTTCGCCTTCGCTTCTTGTGCTTCCGACTATTGGACTGTACTATGGAGCATCACCGTTAGTTTGCAAATGGGCGTTAGACCGTGCTGTCATCATCACATTGTCCGACTTGTTCCGTCTCCCACCTGTTATCTTCGCCGTCTAATTAATGTTCGCGCCACGCAGTGTTTCGGCTCTGGAAGAAAGAATTATCTTTGCTAACCAAACAGACTTGTTTCGGTAGTGATTCTGTCCTTTTGTGCATTATTGCGCCTCTCTTTAACGGGGTGTGGGGGGGGGGGGGCGAGACACATGGTATCGCCCCATCCCCAAATACCACCCGTCGGACCCAATGCCTCCCGCTCTCCAGCTGGTGGCGGTGGCAGCCCAGCTTCTGCTCGCGCCCACGTTCCCTTCTCCCAGCCGGCGGCGGCGGCGGTCAAGTCTCTGCCCCCTTCAGCCGGCGACTTTGGCGTTTTAACTTTTACTTACGCTATCCCCCCTCTCCCGCCCCGGCAGAGGCGGTCGACATGGTCAACCGGCTGGAGGAGTGGGCCATGGAATCGGTGGCAAACGTCGTGTCCGACAACAGCAGCGACACGGATCTGCTAGTGCACAAGCGAACCGACAACGTGGACCTGTACGTGCAGCAGAACAGCTTGGACGCCTTCCGGCGTCGCCAGGTGGCGCTCTTTCCCAGTGACCAGGTCCGGCGGCTGGACAGCATTGAAGGTGGGCCGCGGGTGGTGGCAGCATGCCAGCGTCGGGTCGCTGACGTCATGGGGTCGGGAGGGAGTTTGCGGGGTCCGGGGGAAGGGGGCTGCTGCTTGCGGGCTGGTAGGGAACGGTCAGGTGTGGGTCTTGGATCTGTTGTATCAGAGGTCGAGAAGTAAGACGAATACACATTTTATGGCTGAATTCGTCCAGGGAATGCCGGGAAATCGGTCAATATTGTTGCGGCATTTTGGTTCTTAACATAAATATACATATATATATATATATATATATATATATATATATATATATATATATATATATATATATATATACATGGTTTGGTGAGCAGGCTATGCCGTATACACATATAAGTATGCTCTTGGAAACTTTGTTCTGTAACTGCTGATTATAACGCCAATATCGCCCACAATGAGCAGCGACGAATCGGACTATATCAATGGGATGTGTTACCAACGATGCGTGATAGCAGGATCCAGTCTTCGCTCTTGAACGGGATGCATCACTCCATTTGGCAATGCGTTGGACTCTAAGCAAAACTGGGCCACAACAACAGTCCATCACATTATTTCCCCACATCACGATGTCGAGCTTGAGCACTTTGACGTACCGTAACCCTTATGTGACCCCTGTGACCTGTGCGATGGTGGTCTGACCCCGTGCGGCGGTGCACCGGCAGTGCCGACTGTGGTATTCCGAAAGCCAGGCTGTGACGAGGCCACCATCAGCACCGTATTCACCAAGTACGACAGCTACGGCGCCGTGTCACCCAAGCGCTTCATGCGGCGGTGAGTTCAGTCAGTGGGCTGCCGGCAGTGGAAGCCCCCCGTCGCGATCGCCTTCAGAGCGTCTGTCAACTGTGCAGCGGCAGGTCCTGTCGTGCTCACGCCAGCATCGCACGTATGCACCCAACTCCCAGCGTGGGCAAGGCTCGGCGCCAGATCCTCTTCTAAACTCGCACCGTCGGTGTGGACTGACGCGCCGCTGACCGCACGGGGCGCCGGCATCGCCGCCAGGGCAGTGACGGGCCTCCTGTCGTCGCCCGTTGCAGGCAGTTCAAGACGCGGCAGGCCCAGTACCTGGACATCGATAGCGCGGTGCTGTCGCTGCGCGTGAAGACGCTGCGGGGTCAGGCGGAGGTGGACGAGTGCCTGCCGACGATCGATGACTTCCGTAGCTCGCCGGTCCGCGCCACGCTCGGCCACAAGCAGCCTAAGCAGACCCTGCGGCAGCCGCTCTTCCACGAGGACGAGATCGTCAGTGACGTGAGTGCTCGCCGCCGTCGCCGCCGCGCTGCTCTGGTGTATTCGGGGCGGACTATTGCCGGCGTGTGATGCGTTTAACCTAGGTTCGTTCGGAGTGCTCTGTGGTTTAGCCCTCACCCGGTCATAGGGGGAGGGTTAGCTAACCCCGTGATCTTGCGGTGTCTCCCATACTGATTCGCGGTGTCGATCGAACCTTGGTTTGTCGTGTTTGGAACTTGCTCACACCTGGACATACACTCCTATTGTTATTATGCCACATCGCTCACCCGTGACCTCGTTCTCAAAGCCCGCACTGCGAAATACGGAAACCGGGGGTCCACACGCCATTCTCCGATTTGTGTGCGCCAGAAATTCTTTGTCATGGCTCTGAATGCGCATTACTCCTATTACCCGTGCATCTTCAATGCTCATAAGTTTTTCACAGGCTGGTGGAGGTCAATGTCATATCTGGATAAATATTTAAGTGGATGTAGAGCTGGCTCACGCAATCTTTATGCGACAGAACGGATGCTAAGTACGAGGCCGTTGATGGTGAAAGTCATGGGAAAACATGGAGAAACGTCGGGCGACCCTACAGTAGCCATTAAAGGAAGCCGAGACATTGTAACCTCAAGTTCATTTGAGCATATGATAAGCCTCGTAGACACGGCAAAAGTGTAATTCACCTTGTTTGACCTGAGCTGACCGGTTAACTACAAGACATAATACGGAATAATCCTTGGAAAAATTATAAAACTGGTAAAACGAGAAGCAGTTGTTTCCCCCACCTCCATTATCGCGCATCGGCTGCGGAGCAAGGGGTCGTACCGACCTCCCTATACTGTGGAGGGCAGGGAAACCGGCACAGGTATTGAGGGTAATCTCTTGCCTCGTAATGGTAATCTCTTGCTCTCTTGCACAGGTATCGAGGGTAATCTCTCTCACAGGTAATATCTTGCCTCGTCACTGGCGTGACGAGGCAAGAGATTGGCGTAGTAATGTGCGTTTTTTGCTGGCAAGTTCCATACAGGCTTTTTGCAGACACCGCAAAATTACCTCAACGCTGCTGCTGTGCTTTGTGACTGTATCTATCCGAAAGTGTATCATGTTTTGCTCGCGTCTCGATGATGCCCACCCGTTTGTCGTGTTTCGCTCCCGTCTTGATGGTGGTCGCCCGTTTGTCGTGTCCCGCTCCCGTCTCGATGGTGGCCACCCGTTTGTCGTGTTCCGTTCCCGGTCACCTGTTTGTCGTGTTCCGTTCACGTCTCGATGGTGCCTACCCGTTTGTCGTGTTCGCTCGCGTCTCGATGATGCCCACCCGTTTGTCGTGTTTCGCTCCCGTCTTGATGGTGGTCACCCGTTTGTCGTGTCCCGCTCCCGTCTCGATGGTGGCCACCCGTTTGTCGTGTTCCGTTCCCGGTCACCTGTTTGTCGTGTCCCGCTCCCGTCTCGATGGCGCCTACCCGTTTGTCGTGTTCGCTCCCGTCTCGATGATGCCCGCCTGTTTGTCGACAGGTGCTCCGACGCCACTGCGTCTGGTGGAACGAGGGCAGCATGCGGGGGCTTGGCGCCTGGGACCCCACCGGATGTGTCGTCCTCGAGAGTGATGACTTCTTCACCAAGTGCGCGTGCAAAGCGCTCGGCCAGTACGCCGTGGTCGCCGAGAAGGTGCGTCCCTCACCATTTCCCTTCCCCTCCCTCAGGGCATGACGAGTCATTCAAACTTCTTTCGTGTCTTTTGAATGGCGCTCGTTAGTTTGTTAAGCAGTGTAAATTTTGGCGTAATACGTTGTTTCTAAAACGTGTCATTAAAACGTGTATCTTGTTTGTCAACGTAAATTAGAATGTTCTCCTGTTCATATCGACAAGACGGAAGTAACAGCCTTATTCCTGGAGAAAACCAGGAAAATGGAGGTATAGATACGTTCTCCTGATAGACCTCCTGGTTTTTCTCCGAGGAATAGGGCTACTACCACCGTCTTATCTATGCGAATGTCCTTGCAAATTCACTGTACAACTTCCCCCTTTTATATCATCGTCATTACCCACGGTAGTTAAGTTGGCTAACACTTAGCAGGTGGTCTCCATGCACATTGATCGGTCAGGGGCTTCCATGTCGTGACATGCAGGTTTCAGCGCGATGTGGCTTTTCTGTTGACAACATCGTGGGCCGTCAGGTTGAACCGAAAATTGTCGACATCGACAACACATGGCTGATCCTCATCAAGACTGTCTTCCACACGATATCGATAGCCCTGCTCCTGGTGTATGCAGTCCTGGTGTTCAAATCCGAGTAAGTTATGGCAGGCTGGCATAATTACAAAGCTTTGGCTTTGTCGCAATAGGCGATCAATGCCATGTGGTGTCTGGTAATGCAAGTGATGGATAAGAATGCTCCTATCGATGTATTATATTTCCATAAGCTTGGGCGACGTAAGCTATGTCTAGATGTAAACGTTTTATGTGTCGTGTATGGCGATAGAAACGCTTAGTGTCAGAGTGACAGCGGCCACAACATACCGGCTTACAGAGTGTGTATTAAAGCCAATTGTAGGTGAGGCTTCAACGAGCGGAAGAATCACTTTTGATTCAACCTGCTGCCTTCCCAAATCGATATCACCTGCAATTTCGTCTCGCGTTGAGTCGCTCCCAGCTGCAGCTCACGTCGTCCTGCAGGCACCGCGCCACCGGAACACCCCACACTCCCACACGCACACGCACGCGTGCGTCGCCTCGCGTCCCGCGCGGCCCTGCCTCCCCGCCTGACCGGCGCGCCGCGCCGTCCACAGCCAGCTGTGGGAGATGTTCCACCAGATGCGGATGACGACGGCGCTGCTCCTGCTGGCCGGTGCCTTCTTCATGTGCATGTCGGACCTGGACTCCGTGCGCGCCGACCGCCACCACTGCACCACCATCGCCGCCTTCCTGCAGTTGTGCTACCTGGCCGTCGGGGTGATGGTCGCGTGCGAGGGCTACGCCTGCTTCCGCGCGCTGACGGTCGGCGTGGTGGGCGGCAAGCTGCGCTCCTACCTCTGCATATCCTTCGGTCAGTGACGCTCGGACGCCGCTCCTGATGGTCGGCCGAGGTCTGTTAGGTTTGCCAACGGCAGGCTTGTATGGGAGTGGCAAAAATTGGGTCAAACTTGCGTGTGTTGGTTTGTGGAGGTGCTGATCGCTTTGAATACATTGTTATGGTTAGGTAGTATTTGTGAGTGCATTATCTAACAAATGCACAGTGTCTGCCAACAGTCAATGCAATCACAGGAGCTAATCATAATCTTTTAGAAACAAGACTCAACATGACAAGACTCCGTATACGGTCACACACAAACAAGACTCTGTATCACCACCAGCAGGGCTAAATTCGGGGTAGAATCCCATGGCCAACCTCCGACATTGCGGCACGGCCGTCAGACGCGGCCGACTGGTGAGGCGCGCCCTGACCTCTGACCTCGCCCCGGCAGGTGTGTCGCTGATCTCACTGGGCTACGCGCTGGCCACCGAGTCCCACCGCTACGGCGACGACCCGCAGTGCATGATGGGCTGGGAGACGGACGTCAAGCTCATCTTCTTCTCGCCCATGATGCTGTGCTTGGTGTTCATCGCGCTGTCGGTGGTGCTCATCATGTGCAACATGGGTACGCCGCAGCTGCGCAAGGAGAACATCATCGTCGACCAGGAGTCGGTGTGCATTGGCTACAACTTCTTCTCCTTCTACTTCATGGCGACTTGGGTGGCCGGTCTGCTGGCCTACGTCAGGCTGGATGCTGAAGGTCTGCCCAGCTTCTACCCCCTGTTCCAGGCGAGTGTGCAGTCAACACCCGCTGCTGCGCTCCCTCACTCGGGTGTGCAAGGGCCACGTTTTTTGAGGTTCCTACTTGGATAAGATAAAGCAGATAAGGATGAAGACTGACCTTGGTGACAACAATGTTGAAAGAAATATATTATAAGTCATGAATCGAATGTGATCAATACCGGGCAGCTGAGCCCATCAACTATTTGGCACTGTGCTGTAATGGACTTAAGGTAAGCGACCTCAGCTTACCTTAAGTCCTCACACTTTACGCTCAGGCTACCCACCTTCCAATGTTTCGCAGGTGTTTTGATTGCCAAAGTAAATAAGTAAGCATACATTTTCATTGATATAACATGACGCAACGGCTTTGAATGCTACTAGTTCAGAAGTTCCAGATACTGAATTCGCGTGGTAACAGCAAGCCTTTTTTCGGTTTTTCGTGCGGTAACAACAAGCCACCCACTTTGCATGGGTGTCGTAAGAAGAGCGATGGCTAGGGTAGTGATTTGCCCCATGTAGTAGTCTACGTGCAAGCTCCACATCACCTTTAGAATAATCTGACGCCCTCGTTAGCCTGATGCACTGCTCAATAATGTACCGCCTCGTCCAAGTCTACTCAATTGAGACCCGCCCCCCCCCCCCTCTGTCCCCCTCATCCTCACCTCCAATGTACCTCTCCAAGTGTGCAAACAGTAATCAGGCGTGCGTCCAAGGACGCACTCGGATGTGAAGCGAAACGCTTTCTCCCCATCACGCCTGCTATCGACCTGATCTTGCGCTGACCCCGTTATCCACCGGCAGTTCATGAACGCGGCCTGCGGCATGGTCTTCTTCATCTGCCAGGGCATGCTGTCGCGTCGCTTCCGCATGATCATCACGTGCCGCGGCCACGAGCGACGCCGCATGCTCGTCGCCTACACCGTGCACGAGGACGAGTCGGACGTCACCGAGTCGCGCGAGACATCCGACGACGAGTCGGACTCACAGGACGACGGCGAGTCGGACGTCTCGGACTGCGGCCCCGAGTCGGGCCGGGCCGGGTCGCCCGCCGCGCCCGACTCGCAGCCGAAGCCAGAGGCGCTGTCACAACTGAGAGATGAGCAGCAGCCGGAGCCGGATGCGCACCCGGAACCGGAGCCAGAGCCGGAACAGGAGGCGCAGCCGCAACCGGAGCCGGAGCCGGAGCCGGAGCCGGAGCTGGAGCAAGGGGCGCAGCCGGAGCCGGAGCCGGAGCCACACCCGCAACCGGGCGACGGCGATGAGCCAGCGACGCCAGACGGCGCGGCGGGGGACGAGACGGGCCATGCATGAGCGAGCCGCGCGCCGCGGGGCGCCTAAAAACGAGATGACGTCAACTGTGTTGGACTAACTGCCCATATGGAGACCTACGGAATGAAATTGGACTTGAGCCGGTATGCTGCGATGTGTTCTCTTTTATGGCGTTCCGTGCAATACTTTTTCGAGTGACTGCCACGACTGCTGCGTTTGAAATGTAAAAAAAACACGTGCCATGTTAACCTGAATTCAGAGGAGGACTGAAAGCAAAGGCAATACTGTTTCGTCTTGTTTCTTATCTCATGTACCTGGTGACAAAACTCATCCAAATACATTTCGAGCATTCGGTAGACAGTGGTGAAGGGGGTTTTAGCTCAACTATTCACGAAGCTTTTTTCAGGGAGGCCTAATATCTTACCATTACGTTCTGTCTTTTTAGAAACCTACGTCCACCCCATGGGCATGAGCACTTCTGGCACAGCGAGCACAAAGCCCCAGTAAGTTTTTGTTTTCATTGGGCTCTTGCTGTAATCACAATCATCCGATCACTCAAAACAGTACCACAACGCATCCATGGACTCAATAAGCTTCGGTGTGCAGGCACATCCCAGTCCACTACAAAGCAACGGAGTACGGAGTACCCAGACTGCACGACAGGCTACCTCATCCGCTGACAGCTTCGCTACCAGCGGCCAGTAGGGCAACGCTCCTGCCAGCTCCTAGGGCATGAACTCATCAAATCGGTGCAGGTGGGGGAGTTTTACAGCACTGTGGGAAGTTGCAAACGTGGAACAACAGTGTGGGACAAGCGGCTCGGAAATAGACGAACGGCAAGAAACGGGTGCTATCGACAGTCTGATCAGATAACAGTGCGAAGGCACCACCACAAGACAACAGCAGTCATTGGCTGGGGGCATCTGCTCACTGTCCATGTGAGTGGAAACGTTCCGAGGATGTGATCGTATGTCAACTTCAGCGAAACGGTTCACGACGTTTCATTTAAGACCGTCCCCGGTGTTAAATTCAGTTGAAATACTGGGTATTTCAACTGAATTGGGTATTGTAAGTTGCTAAGTGCCTTTGCGAAGAGCATAACGCAGGAAAATAAGACAGGAGTAATGGTCTTATTCGTCGGACAAAAACCAGGAGAATGGAGATGTAGATGCGTTGATATTTTGACAACGTGCTTTTATCGGAACGAATAGCACAAGTGAAGTCGCTTCTGTGAAAGCTATTACCGTTGTTTTAAAAAAGGTATTGGGAGCAAAGTCGGCTTCGCGGCTAAGAGTAACCATTTTAGGGCATGCCGGCGCTGTTTCGTGGCTTATCTGGAGATGCCATAACGGAGTTAATGTCAGAATTCCGTTTTGATGCGATAGCGTGCCCTTCAACCGTTATGGGATTCGGGCGCGGATCCTGGAATTTCCCCGGGCGATGTTTCCTTCAGAAAGAGCATTCTGTGCCGTGGGACCCCGAGAACATACGATAGACACACAATCTGCTCACTCCGCTGTACTACGTGCTGTACGTCGTGTTTTATATATATATATATATATATATATATATATATATATATGTATAACATCTGCATGGCTCTTTCTCCTGGACATGTTTATTTATTGAATGCGTACTAAACTTACTTTACGGGAACTAGCGGTTTTGTCGAATCATCGAACATGTATGAAAAGTTTTTCACCGCATGCAACAGAAACAAATGCACCTGCAAACGCACGCGCACACACCTGCCAACTGCTGCCAGTACAAAACAATCGTCAGATTTTGTATTTTATCCAGTAGAATCCTCAACAGCGTCTCATTCAATGCTGGGGTGCAGTCCGTAAGATGTTTTGCAAAGGTACGCGCACAATTCGGGATAATTTTAGTTGTGCTATGCGACACGATGCCATTGTGACAGCACGATATGTACACGATGTTGTCGTGGCAGCACGATATGTACACGATGCTATTGTGGCAGCATTACGTGTACACGATGCCACTGTGGCAGCACAATGTATACACGATGTCATCATGACAGCACGATGCATACACGATGCCATTGTGGCAGCACGATGTGTACACGATGCCATCGTGGCAGCACGATATGCACACAATGCCATTGTGGCAGTACTCTCGGCCGGCAAGTTCTATCGCTCATCGGCTGCCTTGATCATTTTCAAGTCACCCCTTGTTTCTGCACTAGTACCTTTTGACGGCCTGTCCGGTTTTTTTTTTTTTGTCTGACGGCTTCACGGCTTTGTTTTTTTATTCAAGATGGCTGGTGGCCAGACTGGTAAAATCGAGACGAAAAAATAGCGGTGGAATGTGATGCTTGCTCCGAACGTTGCCATCTTAGAACTTCGCAGCAACTTGTCCCTTGGCAATTGAAATAAAAAGTTGTAAACTTGCCCTGAGTGTTTCACAGGAATACAACGCTATCCATTGCGTTCAGTGGATAGTGTTAACAAAGGGTTGTTGGTTGGCAGCACAGCCCACTTATCGGACTCGTTTATATATGTTATTTGGTCGATTCGCCGACATTGTCTCATGTAATGCTGGTGGTTATGGAGACATGGCGACTTGCAAAGTTACAACGTCCAATCTAAACGGCGTTTGCTAACTGCGTTTGCCATGACGGCGTTTTGCTAACTGCAGCCTGCCTGCACGCATTTTTGGCCAGATTAAGGCCTCCTGGGAAAAAATGTTCAGGCTACACTCAAAAGTGCGACTGTTTGCGGTCGCTAACGCTGGTGTAGGACTATCAGCAGCTGTTGCAACGCATTCGTCTGATCCGGCTTTCATTTTATTCGGTCGACCATTTGACACTGTCTTACCCGATGCTGGAAGGCCGGCGGCACCGGTGGTTTGCAAATTTACGGCGCCTAATTTAAGATGCTTTTAGCCCAGCGCGGCCGGAGCGACTACACGCATACGATGTCACTCTCGGGGCAATATCGGTGGGCAATGAAAATCGTTCATAGGCCGACATGAACCTTTTTAAACAACTCATCCATTGACAGCTCATTCAGAAACTGCTGCCCAACTGCAAGTACAGTGATGTCAAGAATATGATGGTCTGTTGAGAATGCTTATAATCGTGCGGGAAGCGGGCAACTGTAATCATTGCATGACACTAGTATAAGGCTATGAACTCCCTGTAGAACACACTTGTCGGATTCTGCATTCTATTTTGCAGTCGACCACCAGAGAGCGTCTCATTCAACACTTGTGTGCCGCCCGCGCCTGCGGTTGTTAAAAAAGACGCCGGATTTACAGTACTGTTAGTTGCATCGGCGGGTGAAGTTCGGTGCAACCGATGTTTATGTCGGAGCACTGTCGGTCGGCAAAGTAAATCGTTAATTTTTTCGTCACTGCCGGTCGGCAATACCTTTTTTGTTCGAATCACCCCTCGACGCTATAATGTTTACTGCAGGCGTCAGCACGAAAAGTGATAGCCAGAATATGGCGATACGGTAAAAATACTTACTTTCGGGGGTGGAGAGTAAGACTACGTGCATTGGATAACACTGGTATGCCTATCAGCTGCCCGTACCACACACTCTGTCGGATTCTCGTTTCCATCACATTTGGTCATGTCTTCCGTAAGCGTCTAATTTAGTGCCGTCGTGCCATCCTCGCCAGCAACTCACAGAGTTACGGCGGCCGATTTAAAATGATTTGAGCTGTCCTTGGTGGATGTACGCCTGTCCATAAGATGTCATTTTCGGAGCACACACAGCTGGTGGTTTAAATCGTTCATCGGCCGACACGGTCTTTTTTTGCTTCAAAGCCCCCTCCACGGCGCTTTGTTAACTTCAACTGTTCTTCCCACAGCGTGAAAGCCAGATTTCGGCGACTCAAGAAAAGAAGATCAGCATTGCGCGAGAAGAGTGCAACTGTGTGCACTCGATAGCATAATGTGTGCACTGGCAGCGATGACGGCAGCAGCGACAGCAGCAGCGGCGGCGCGACGCTCGTGCTGCCGACACGACGGCGCGCAGCTGGGCTAGCAGGCCATGCTGAGTCAGCAGCGCCTGGTCTGTAGTCGCCGCCATCCCGTCGGTTTGACCGGCCGTGGTCAATCTGAGCGGCGGTGAACGGCGAGGATATGGTCGAATGGGCAGCCAGATGTGCTGAGCTGTTTTGGTCGGCTATTGATTGGCTTCATCTCGTGGGTGCGGATTGATATACTTCGGAGAATATAGGGTCGGGGTGCGAAGCAGAACACGGGAAGGAGAGAGGTGATTGGGCTGCGATAGCTTCCGGCGGTTGGCTCCGGCTGACCATGTTGGCGGTCAGTCGGTGAGCCAACCGCCCAGCCCGCGTCGGTCTGGTTGCTGGGGTCACCCGACGGTCTCTGGGACGAATAATCTCACATGATAATCAAATTACCCCCTAATCTAAGCATTGCTGGTAATCGGCGCGAAGCTCGTGACGCGCTGGTCTCCTGGTCGAGCACGGCTGTACCGCAGGGCCGTGTCCAGCTACCCGGTTGGTGGTGTTCTGTCTGGAAACAGGTGCCGTTTCGCTCAGAAGACGGCGCGTCTCTGTCGCAGGTCAGGCTCAGCGTTTCTTAATTAATTAGCTGAGAAGCCAGGCAAACGTCGGTCTGATCGCTTGGGTCATCCGACGGTCTCTAGGACGAATAATCTCACATGATAATCTAATCACCTCCTAATCAGACCTGCAGCTTTGGGCACGAAAGACACTGAATGTGTTCTGTCAGTATGGGAGAATATCTTCCAGCGTTCTTTTGGAAGTCTTGCACTGCTATTTGCAGCATTGCACTAATGTTTGCAGCAAATTGCTGCAGATAGCAATGCAATCCTTTCGATGTGATGGAACTACATGATGGCTCAAATCAATGATAGGGTCCCTCAGATAAAGACAAATGTGCGGAGAAAATATTACTCCTGCCAGAAAATATTCCTTATCATACAAGCGAACATTAAGCCATACATATTCAGCGATTCGTAATGAACACATGACAGTGATGGCTGGGTGGTGGCAGCACCAAGAGTGTTACTCTGGCAAGCTGCAATCACGTAACATGATTTAAAAGGTCGTTGAAGGATGACAGTAAAATCGGCAAAAAATTCGCGGAGACGCCTGCAAATAGTTGCTCGCTTCTATACCCTTGGTGAATGATTTGTATGATGCATGCGGCACAATAATGTGTCCATTGAAATCAGGAGATATCCAGCAGCAGCTGGATATCATATCCAAGGCATCCAGCAGCTGAGATACACACCTGCTCAGTGCCCGTCGCAGGCCGCTTACAAAGTGACTCCCAGTGATGTCACACAGTCGTCACACGGCAACAACGCGGGCAAGGCTATATCCTGAAATGCTGGCGATTGCGAGACGTGGGGCAGTGGTGGCGGTGCCGTGCGACGGTGTTTGAAAAACGAAGGTAGTGGCCACGGTAGATTAACCTATAACAACGGATTAACGGTAGATAACAAGATCATTTGAATTTGTTGTAGCAGGTTATGATTGCTTTGTTCTTAATTGCCTGGAGCACAATTCATCTACAGATTAGAGGTCGCTGCTGGCCTTTTTATGTTATTTACAATTGTGATAAGTAAGAAATGCCTAACACTTGGTAACCTAACAATTTAAAGGTCTGCAAAGGACATCTTTCCAAGATGTTTTGGGCCTCATGATGCTACCATTTGTCTCCCCCAAAACCACAAAATTGCCAGTTTTTGTATACATTTTAGGGGTGTGTGGGACCAGTATTGCTAAGCACATAGCTGACTGCTGGTTTTAGGGTGATAGCATTGTATGTATGCCCAAATGGATATGCATTAGAAGCAAGAAACTATCACATTGATCAATGAGTCACCATGACAAACAAAAACACCTTCCATGATGCCTGCATGTGTTTTTCACCAGGAGCTTGCCACCACATCCAATATTTGAAAGCAACTGACTTGGTACTCACAAGATCAAACAAGCCTGAGACCTTAGAATGGGGCTGAGCATGAACTAGGGTAGATCCAGTATGCTGCTTCAGGGAGAGAGCAATGTTGGCCTGGTTGCTAAATCCCCAAAAAGTGTCCTTGCTTTCAAAACTCATCAACTTTTATTTACCTAAAGTAGGTGTTCTTTAACCAACTCCCCAGTAAAAGTTGTATGGGTGGGGGGGTGGGGGTTGGAAATGATTGGGCTGCCTCTTGAGTTGAATCAATCCTTGACCATCAAATAGAGTGCTGGAAGCTTATAAAGTTTAAAGTTATCCCGATAGACATGATTAATGGAGGCCTGCATTACATATATTTGCCCTGTAACACCTGAGACCTCTGGAAACATGACTGTGGCCAACAGACAACCAGAAGAAAACATGTTCTAGAAACATGTGGCTTAACCCAAAAAGCATATTTTAGCCTTTTGGAGAGCGTCATACAGACTGAGCACGTTGTAAGCTGGTGCAATAGTGTTCAGTGGGCCATTGTCTTTGTCATTTTTATCCACGTAAAAGGGGTGTCCGATCAGCAAGCTGGTCTCTGTTAGGCGTGCTACTGTGACAACAGCAGCAATGTGACTACAAAGCAGACAAGTTAGGAGACTCAAAAAGTTTTAAACTCTACAGGTCATTCAAATCTGTGAGCTGCTGATTAAGTTTGTGATCAGGGATCAGGGGGGAGTGTGAAGGAAAACCTTTGTCTGGTGCACTGTGGAAGCGATGAGGTGGGCTCAAGAGGCGAGCAATGCCTCAAAACATTTGGCTAGTGGTGTTGCATGGGCAGGACGGCGAGGGGGCGCTTAGGTTGGAGCACGGTGGAGGTGGCTCAAATGCATCAGTTTTTGAGGTCTTCTAGCTGTGTCCTACAATATCCCTGAGACGTTTTCGTCGGCTTTTTAAGGTACTATATGGGCCTGTGTTACACTGAAATTATACACCCTTAGATCTATGTGAAGTGGCCCATTGCTGAATGTGTCCGCGAGTAGTGACTGGCGCTATCGCGTCCGCCTCCGCCGGCGCTGACACCGCTGCGCCGGTTCCCGGCTGGCAGTTGGGGACTGCCGTGTGCCGCAGGATGAGCGTGGCGGAGCAGCTGCAGCGCACGCCGCGCGGCCGCCTCCGCTACGACCGGCGCCAGCTGAGCCCTCAGTCGCTGCAGGACGTCATCGGCGAGATCCACACCGACATGGACTCGATGCAGGTGCGACTCGCCTCGCCCGACAGCTATACGTCGCCACCCAGCTTCGGCCTCTCGTTCGACTCGTCCGAGGACTCGCTGCTCTTACCGCGCGCCTCGCCAACCGCCGCCAACGGTAGCGCGAACAACACCGCCGCCGACGGCAACGCAGACCAGACCGCCGCCGACGGCAGCGCAGACCAGACCGCCGCCAACGCCAGTGCGGATCAGACCGCCGGCCCGAGCCCTAAAAGCGCGGACCGACCCGCGGGCCTCGCGGAGCGGTCCTCGGGCATGACGCCTCGTGTCGCCAGCTCACCGAACGGAGGACCGGCCACCAGCGCGCCGCGGTCAGAGGGCTCGCCGGCGCCGCTCACGCCCCGCGCCTACGATCGGCTGCTGCACGAGGAGAAGCGGCGCCACCTGCAGGAGGCTAAGGCGCTGGCGCGCGACCGGCTGGCGGCCGCCGAGGTGGCGCTAGAGCGGCTGCACCGCCAGCACCAGAAGCGCCGACAGCAGCTGGCGGACGAGCTGCGCCAGCGCGACCAGCGGCAGCGCGAGCAGCGCCGCCTGGAGCGCCAGCAAAGCGACTGGGAGCTGCATGAGGCGCACGAGCGCATCCAGCAGCTGCAGCAGCGGCGCGCCAAGGATCTAAGTGAGCGCGTGCAGGCGGCCGCGGAGCAGCAGCGTGCCGACGAGGAGGAAGAGCGCCGGCGCGCCGCCCGCGAGCGCGCCCTGGTGGACCAGATGTTGGCTGCGCAGAAACAGATGGGTGCCGTGATTGCCCAGGTGGTGGCTGACATCCGTGGCTGTCGGAACCGTGCCGGTCTGCAAGCTAGCCCTGCCGCCGCCCAGATGGACCAGCTGAAAAAGCTGATGGCGCGCATGGACACGCTGGTGACGGAGCCGACGACGGCGCTGCGGCCTTCCGACGCCGAGGCGCTGGTGGCCGAGGCCGTTCAGCTCGCTGAGCTGGTCTCCAGCCGCATTGAGACGATCAACGCGGCGGCGGCGGCGGCGGCTGACACGGCAGCCAAGGCTGAGTCCGAACCGCCGGTGGCGCCCGCGGCACCGCCGCCGCCGCCATCACCGGAGGTCGCCGCCGTGGAGACCGAGTCGCCGTCGCCGGCGACGGAAACAGCAGTTTCCGATTTCGTGCAAGAGGACAATCTGCTTTGGTGTGATGGCTTGCGCGCAAAACTGACGCAGTTCCAGGCCGGTTTCGCTGACTTGCTGGCCGACCCGAGCCTGAAGAAGTTCAAGTTTGACTGCCAGAAGGCGGTCAACACGCCGATCAACGCCATCTCGCCGGTGTCGACGGCCCACCTGCGCGACAAGCTGGAGAAGCTGCGCGCGCTTCTGCGCGGGGAACCGGTGACGGTGTCCGGCCAGGGCCGGGTCACGGCCGCCGCCCACCCGCGTGGCGTCCAGTTTTGCCTCGATCTTGTCGCCAAGAAGTTTGTGCGCCAGGGGGAGGACGTGGTGTCCAGCAAGCCGGAGGCGGCGTTCGCGCTGGCGGCAGTGCTGTGCGCGCTGACACTCGAGTTCCCGGAGCTGGCGGAGCTGACGCTGGCCCACTGCCAGGCGCGCTGCCCGTACCTGGTGCCGATGTACCCGCCGCAGCTGGACGGCGATTCGGACGAGGCCTACTACCGCAAGCTGGGCTACGACTACGTGGACGGCGTGGTGGAGCGCCAAGACAAGTTCCTGAAGCGGATGTCGGGCGTGGCGCGCCTGTACGCGGCGGTGCTGACGGCGCGTCCGCCGCGCGCCGCCGGCGCCGCCGCGCGCCCGCTCGGCCTGCGCCTCGCCTGGCGCTGGCTCGCCTCGCTCGTCAACCTCGAGCCGCGCGCCGACATCACCGCCTCGCTGCTGCACGACCTGCTGGAGGTAGCCGGTGCGGCGCTCGCCGCCGCCTACGGGGCGCAGTTTTTCAAGCTGGTGCGCCTCGCGTACGGCCGGTACCTGGCACGCGTGCGCCAGGCCACCCCGCCCGGCTGCGGCGGCCCGCTGGTGCGACTGGAGCAGCAGCTGAACGCGATCGTACGCATGGGGCGCGTACCGTCGCCGCCCGGCCAGCTGCAGCTGTTCAACTGGTGAGCGGTCAGGCGGCCGCGCCGAGTCGCTTCGCTCTCTGGGAGAACGGCATTCGCCGTGGCCGGTGGCGGGGTCATGACGTCACGGACGTCAGGACGTTAAGGGAAGCGCCTGGCAGCATGTGCGTGGCAAGCATCTGCTCGACAGACTAGTCTGGTCTCCGCCTCAGTGCACCGCCGCTGCTCACCCGTCGTCAGTTCGCACCAGACTTTGGCGAACGGTCCCAGAGCGATTTGTCTTCACAATGCAGAGCACGGGTTTGACGATTGTTTGGTACCATGATAGTTGAACGAGTGATTTTGTCGAGCGCCTGTATCAGTGACGTAATTACGTTTTCTGGGGCCAGGGAGGAGTTGTAAAGGGGCCTTTTTGCCTGTTGTTGCGACGCGCATCGGTTGGGGCACGTGCTGTTGCCCGTTGGCCGTCAGTTTTGTCTCTCGGCGAGTGCTCGTTTGGTGGTGCATGAGCCGTTCCTTCAGACTGCACGCATGTTCAGGATCAGCTCATGCATGTCAGTCTGTGCCAGGCTGTATTCTGTGCTGCTTCAATAAAAGTAATTGCATTGTTAAACGTTTTGTTTCAAACGGCATTGCTTTATCCCTTTGAATGCCGATGGCTCGTTTGGTGGGGTGTGCGGCACGAATCAAGCACGATACGGCTCAGAGTCGGAAGAGCATCTCGAGTAGTTGTACCAGCTGATACATGAAACAGTGCGCTACTTGGACTTAAACCTTTTCGGAGAAATATCCGCACTTCTTATGCTGCACTTTGTATTGTCAGCCGAGCTTTGCAATGCTGCACACCTGTGCGGATACGGACATGAGTGTAGCGGTAACACGGATCAGGGCGGAGAGAAACGTTAGAGACCTTGGCTCTCGTGGAACGTTCTTTGGGGTCGGGCGAAAGGGGTGTGCGAAATACGGTGACGTTGGCAAAGAGTATGGTAGCATATTGCAGCTCGACTTTAGGCATTTTGGGTTTCTTAAATGGCGCAAAAAGACATGGGCAATCGACGCGACAATAAAAAGTAGCCCGGCAAAAGACGTTTGGCTTAATGCATCCTGGTGATTTGTCCGAAAGCCGCAAGTTCGAAATCTCACCTCAGTTTGATAATATTTTGATTGTGTCAAGTCGCTTCATAGGTGGTATTCCAAACAAACGGCAGCTTGTTTCTGTTTCAAGTGTGGACACAAAGAGCGCCGCTGTACCATCCTGGTCCCTCATTTGGCTGGTTCATGGCAAGAAAGCGACAATTTTTTGAAGAGTATCGTGGTCTGCGGCGAAATCTAGGCCCGCTCGCAAGAGCCAGAGAACGCCAGACTAGGGTGTGTAGAATGCCCGATTAACCCTGCCTAACTGGCTTGAGGAGCAAGTGGGACCTGCCGGCCTTCGGCCGATCTGTTACTAGTGACGATGAATCCGCTGAGCAAATGGTGCCCCAATACTCGTTAATCGTGATCTCGCGGAAGATGAGTGCGATCTGGAATGTGACAGGCCGCTGAAACCGCACTCACTCGGCTCTTGACACCGCAATTTTACGGGAGAGGGAATGGTGCGTGCTGCGGTGAACGCTGTAGTTTGCCATCTGCAAGGGAGGCTGTGATCTCGGAAATGACTCGAACTCTCAATGATTTTACCAGTTATGAGAGGCAATCGTAGGGTAAAAAATGACAGGTCACGCGATAGCCTCCGCCAGGTACACTCGGGGAGGTCAGAGCACCCGCAGCATACCGCCAGTACACATCTCTCAACTCCCAAGAACGCTCGCAATAATACCCCTCTGATATGGACACAGCTGCGAAGCAAAAGTCTGTCTAGTAACGTTTATCCAGATCGGTGGTGCATTTGGGCGACGACGCGACGGTGATGCGTTTTAACACTGAATCACCATGCATCACGTGTCTATCATCCGGTCCCTTGGCGCGCTTCGTTTCCGATCGTATTTCATTACCAAAACATGGACGTAAGAACAGCAATCATTGAAGTAACATAGCTGCGCCAAGCTTAACTCTCAGAGAACTTTTTCCAATAAGCGGTGCCCCTGAAATATGCGCCATCATGACAACCGCGAGTGGATTTCTCACAAGTGACATGTTTTCAAGTCATCAACTCAATAAGAAATTATTCAGGAAACAACAGCAATACAAAAAAAGCAAGTAGGAGAGCCAAAGAACGCGAAGGATTTCATCTACAGCCAACAATAAAAAACGCCAGCCGCCGTGCCTCATCATCATCATCATCATCGTCAACGCCATCGTCAGCTTGCGCGTGACGTCGCAGACCACGTGACTTTCAGGTCACGTGACGTGACGTAGACCGAATACTGGGCCCTGATTGGTGCTGACAAACGTGCTGAGGACAGATCGAACGCTGCCCAAGTAAACCGACAAGAGCCTGTCACGAGCATCGCGCGGCTACTGCCGAGATACCAGAAATGGAGGCCACGAGCCGGAGATCAAATTTTATAATTCTTCAATACTACGTCTACGTCTGCTACGGAACACATGGTGGCGGGGCTAAGCTCGCGTGGGCAAACAATTAATGGTGCCCATATCCATGCCCAGTGGCATCAGTTGGACGACACTGTATTGGATGACAGTACCTATCGGCATGGTGGAGCAAAATTTACCACAGTATCACTCTATCAGATGATAATCAAGCTTAAAACTGAACAGGGGCAGCACTGCTCTCTTCATGCTGGACGTCCATAAACGCTGGATGCCTGGATGGTATGTAAGCTGGATGTTATGAACTTGGGATGCTACGATTCTGGTTGTTGTGAGCCTGGATGTTGTGAATCTTTCCTACCCAAGAGCTATTTGACGAATTTTGGACGTTTTGAACGCTGGATGTTGCGGTTTGGTACGTTTCGACCACTTGACGTTATAAAATCTGGATGGTTCAATGAGCATCCGGCTGCCTCACAGCCTGCAGCCGATGAATGCACGTGAATCTGACAAGGCACTATAACAAACAAACATGCCGACGCACGGGAGCCAGCCTCCTTCCTCGCCGCCGGCTCCTCGCTGCGCAAATGGTTTGAAACTTTTGACTCTTGGTTTGATTCATGCTAAAAAATCTCGTTGGTACGTCTAAACTTTTCAACCTGCATAAAGCTGCCACATAGTGTGAAGCGACGTTTGCTGCGCAGTAAACACATTTAATGGGTTGTCTTTTTTGCCATCGAATGTGCCTGTGCTCGAAAACACAATTAATTACAATTGTGCGTGCGCCGATTTTTATAAGTGCTAACTGAGAAGCATCTTGCCAACGTTGTAATGGTATGTGAGTGTGGCTATTTTTCGTGAACAGGTCAGAAAATGTCAGAAGTTGTCCGAGATAAAGTTGATCTCTGCCGTGCCCTTACTTGAAAGAAGTGGCACGAACAGCCATTGACATTTGACTAGTTGCAAACCGTGGTGACGTGTCAGTGATATGTCTGGGACCAGCAGAATCCTTTCCCAAATGAGGAAGTAAGATGCTCCACTTAGGCTTATTTTATTTACCTGACTTACCCATTAAATACAATTTGTCAGCATATTTGTTCATTTTCTCTGATTTTAACTGGCATACAATTCATGAATCACATTGTGAACCCTCAATACTCTAATTCAATCATCCCTGCATACAAAGTTGATTATCTTCCCCAAATCAGATGGTGTATCTCACTGCAAGGCTTTGCTCAGAGTGCCTTGCAAAAAGTACATGTACACCAATTCAGATCAGTGGGGACATCACTGTGGAAATTTCAGCACACTGAAAGATTCTGTGGCCCTTAGAATTTGGGGCATGGTGCCACTAGTTTCCATTCATAGAGCCAATGTTTTAAGGAGTTATGATGCTGAGAAATAAATCTTCATCAGATTACCCAAAATATTATTTGTGGTGAAGTAATTTAAAAATGTACAGGAATGTGATCTAGCCATAGTTAGGCATACAACAGCATGGAATTTATTTACCATTATATGTGTTCAGCACAATGGATGTCTTTTTTGCAGGTTGGGGTTCTGGCTTAAGGAGATTGTATCAAAATCTACCTTGCTTTGCTGGGTGTATTATGTACCTAGATTATCAGTATATGCAAAGAACAGGAACTGACAAAATTTGTTATTGCTAATGTGTTAGGCTACTAACAGTGTATTTTTTTCATTCAAACTGTGTTCATCCTGTGCCAGAAATGTTTAACTTGTGTGGTAAAATGCATATGTTATGCTATAACTCAAGGAGTGAAATATGCTTAATAATGCTTCTGTTTGGTTTGGCAATATAATGTCAGTTTGATGTACAAAAATTGAGTGACAGCTGAGCACCATCGCTAACCCTGCAGGCTGCAGTTCGCTAAATTGACACAATAGGAGGCGGCAGCTGCCAAGTATTGTCATGGCTAATAATGGTAAAACTTTCTGAGTTCCCTGCACTTTTCACAATTTGTGTTTAGAGATTTGCATAGCATTTTGTTGCATGACAAACCAGGTTTCAAGGAGAGTAATTGGCATGTTTGGTTTGATGTGTCCCATACTGAAAGAAAAACTAGATGCTGCTCACCTATATCTATGTTTTTTGTCTGTACAACAAATTTATGAAGAGCACTAGGTTATGGTAATCATATTGGGGTTAGTAGTTTTGCAACCAACTGTTCTGATACATATCTTATCCAGGTTTGCATTGATAAGACTTGTTACCTGCTCTATGTCTGCTTTGATGGGAACATTGCTCCTGAGATTTGTAACATCCATGCTAAAGGAGGCATTATATGGCAGATGCCTAGTCAGGAACACATTCTGTACTCCTGAGGTGGGCCTTGGTTGTTAAGTAGGCAAGCAGGGATTAGGGTTAGTATATGAGATATAACCCTGCACAGAGAGCAGGTCAGCTTGCTGCCTGTGTCAGTTTAAATGATATTTGTCAGTTTGCCAATTTCTGGATTCAAATCCTGGCATTTATTTATTGATGGTTAGTCTTTTTGCTGCTTTGAATTTTTGATTAAATGTTGGCTGTTCATCCATCTAATGAGTAGCCTTGGCCTTTACAATGTCCAACATTTGTCACTAGATAAAGATTATCAGACATCTGGTATGATCTGGTGACACCATCTGCTTTGGAGGCACTAGGCTACCATTCAGAGGCACCATAAATTTGGGTTAGGCATGGTGGTGGCTGCCTGTTTGTAGCATAGGTACTTGTACCTGAATGATACTGCAATCAGTATCTTCAGCTCTCAGTGGGCTTCTGAGAGTCAGAAATGAATCAAATCATTGGTGAGTTAGTTGAAATTTAAATCAAGCAAGTGACATGATATGCTAATTTTGGATGATTGATGTGTACACAGTGCAACAGTGTAATAGCTACATAGTTTCAAAATAGGAAGCCTTTATACTATTTTAATATTTCCATAGAATAGTGCATCTCCTAGGCTGCTGTTACTGAAGGCAGTTGCACCACGCTGCACCTAAGTGTGTACATGGTTTCTCCTTTGGTTTTCTCATGGCTGATGGTCCAATGCCAGCCTTGCACATGATTGATAATGCTTTTTGTTCAAGAACCTGGCTCCAGTATGCCTCAAG